CTCTTGGTGGCCAGCGAGGCGAGGTGCGGCTGAGCCGGGAGGTGCCGGGGGGGGAGGTTTATGTGCCGCCTTTCCCGCCTCCTCCGGGGGAGCGCTGGGTTCTCACGCAGCCCTGAGGAGACGCTCTAGAGGGATTCCTGGAGCGATGCCAGCGTGGCCTCTGCCGCTGATGGCGCTGCTTCTTCCCCCCCCCCGGCCTGTGCAGCTTCTCCTGCATCCCGGCTCCGGGAACAATGGAGCTCTTCTCCCGCTCAGCGCTCCCCCTGCAGGCCCGGCCCCCGCTGTGACCGAGAGGCAGGCGAGACGGACGCTTCCCTGCCAAGTTAGGAGCCTTAAAAGTAAACGAATTTCCCTGAAGTGTGGTGAATACGATCCAGCAGCTAGCTTTTGTGTTGGATTTCAACACGGTCCCTGCCCCTTCCACACAGGCTTACATTTATAGAATGTGAGATCATATCTCTGTTGAAGCTTCTGCAAAACGCAACCAACAGAATTATTTACCTTGTAAGCGAATAGACACTTGCTGTGTGTTAAATATATGTGAGCTTTTTTTTTTTCCCCCCTGTCCTAGCAATGCATCGTGACTCTTGTCCTCTGGACTGCAAGGTTTACGTGGGTAACCTTGGAAACAATGGCAACAAAACTGAATTAGAGCGAGCTTTTGGCTACTATGGACCACTGCGCAGTGTATGGGTGGCAAGAAATCCTCCTGGTTTTGCCTTTGTGGAATTTGAAGATCCACGAGATGCAGCTGATGCAGTCAGAGAACTAGATGGAAGGTAAAACGTGATTCCTGCCTCTCGACTTGCCTTGTGAAAGTAAGAAATCGTGGGTAGTGGGACAGTTTAAATTGGGAACCTTCAGCTGCTAAACCAGGGATTTGGCACAGTTGTTGTGCAGTATTTCTTCGTAGGGTGGTATAAGGTTGGTCCTGAGAGCAGGAATAGCACTGGAGCAGTTAATTTTTGTGCTGGAGTTGGGCTGCCAAGTGATGAGATGACTCTCACCTCTTGGTGTGTGTTATGTTCTCCATGGTGCTTCTATAAAGAGGCAAAACTGATCAGGGAGACTCCGTGGTTCTTTCTCTGCCTGCTTTAATAGCATGACAGGCCTTCAGAAGTGGCCAAACCTTGTGGCTGTCACCTTTGAGTCTGCTTTTTTAGATTGAATCCTGTTTATGGAATGTGGAGTGTGTTTCCCCTCATCCTCAATCCCCTCTCTTGGGGGCTGCATTAGATGATCTCCAGAGAGAGACCCCTTCCAACTCCTGACGATTCAGTGATCCCACAAGTATTCTGCAGGCAGCTGTGTCCCTGGAAGGGCTAACTGAGATCCATCTCTTTTCCCAGAACTCTCTGTGGGTGTCGTGTCAGAGTGGAGCTCTCCAATGGGGAGAAGAGGAGTCGGAACCGGGGTCCCCCTCCATCCTGGGGCAGACGTCCTCGAGATGACTATCGCAGGAGAAGTCCTCCTCCTCGCCGCAGGTACCCTGGGGCAAAGTACCCTCCTAGAGCTCTTGGCACTGTTACCACTTAGCATCCTAGAAGCAGGCTTTTTTTAAAAGCATGTTGATGGATAACGTTCATCTGAGCACAATTTGGAGATGGTAAATGCTAAAAAAAACCCCAACCAAACAAGAAAAAACAACCTCCAACCTAAACCCCACAAAATCAAGGTGAACTTAAGTTGTGTTGGATTTTGGCTTTGGTCCTTAGGTCACTGTGCAAGTTGGTAGTCAGTGCCCTCTATCCTGAACTTACTCTCCTTCCTCCTAAAAATCTGCTCATCTTCTAGTCACACTTTCTTCCCCATACTTCAACTTAGGCTGTTCCTTTCCTTTATTCCATAATGGCAAAACATGACATACAACAGCTTAGCATTTCCATGCAGATGCGTTGCTCCGCTTTGTTTGCACAATTTAAATACTTCCCAAGCAGGCAGCTGTTGAATAATAAATACTTGAAGGAACAGTTGCTTTGTAAACATCTAGAACCTTGACACTCTGGTGGTAGGCTGGAATTTAAAAGCATTGTGTGACAATCCTGTCACCTGAAGTTTGCAAACCCAGCCCTAAAATGTAGCAGGATTTTTGGTAACTGGCAGGTTCTTGGACCCAGACTAGATGTAAGTCTGCAGCGTGGTTTTTGCAGGACTGAATTCACCTGTTGCAGGTGAGTGAAGTCCTCCCAGGTCAGGGGTTGGAGCTTACCCTTTTGCTGTTGAAAAAAAGAAATAACACAGTAGGAGTATTTGTTAGCTAATAGACGGTTGTACTGATGGCTTGTTTTTTTTGTTTTTTTTTCATTTTTTTTATGCTTTTTTGGTCCATCTATTAATAAAAATGAACCCGTTACAGAGTCACCATCATGTCTCTTCTCACCACCCTCTGAGTCTGCATTAGCCAACTAAGCCCTTTCGGCGTCATGTGACCAGCGCGCCCCACGCAGCTTGGCTGGTGTCGTTTCACATGACCCAGGCATGGCCAGTCGTCAGGTTGCACCGCCCTTTGGGTTCCCGAGCATGCTGTTTTCTCTCAGCCTTCTCTCCAACCTTAACCAAATCGGCAGCAGCCACCTCGACCGCCCACACATTCCCGGCCAATCAGCTCAGCTGTTTATTTACCAAATGTCTTCACAACAACTACAGCAGCAGCCTTCGGCTAACAAAAAAGCAGGAAAAATCCACAACACCCCCTTCGCCAACCAACTAAATACAACGCAACATCTGGCAAAACCTTTTCAGCAAATTCTTCTTGGCAGTCAGTCCGGCAGCCTCACCTCACCATTTCTAGCTTGTTGAAACCAAAAACTAGTAAGTTTTTCCTGCTTATACAGTTTACTGCTGGTTAAAATAAGGAGTAAGCGGCTTATAAGTAATTACTTTTCTCAATCAAAGGCTGGCTGTGCATAATTGAGTGGTAACGTACATATGTTGCTTGAGAAAACTTTTAAGGGTGATATGGAAGCTCTTACACTGTGAATAACTTCAAAGAAACCAGTATATTTGCATGTGAGATGCCAAACTAAATATTTTTTTTAATACAGCTCTAACAAATGTAGCTTTTCCTTGCCAGAAAAGTCCTATCACCTTTAAATGGTTTTACTAACAGTTTTCAAAACTTAAAAACAATGACTTTTTTGGGATGAACTGGGCCAAGCTAAGGTTATTTTTAAGTTTTTGAGTAAAGAAAATAGTCTAAACACACTCTTATGGCATTAAAAATGACAAATCACAAAAATGCAGTTCTAATGTAGCACTTAATGGCATTAGCAGTATTGACACTGAGCGCATTTTTCACTTTTTTTTTCCCACTTTGGTATCTCTTTATGTCTTGTCATGGACCTTTTTGGCTTGCATGGGTTCCAAAACCATTTGGTCTGTGCTATTTTTTATTTTATTTTATTTTTTAGAACCACTTGTGGGACTTTGGTGTGGTGTTCTGGGCAGTGTATTTAGTTGAAATGGAAAGTGTTGCATTGGACAACTCTGCTGTGACGCATTCTTAGTTAAAAGTGAATTCGTATTTGGAAAACGTGCTGTTCACACTGAGCTTTTTGTTTTTGTTTTGTTTTTTTTGCCTAATCTTTCCATGCCTTTTACTGGATGATGGATGCCAGTTATTCTTGGCACTTTCTCTGGGCCCAACAGTGAGTTTGACAAGTTGGGAAATGCCTCACCCCGTTAATGCTGAAAGATTTGATCAAAAACCTCACATTCCTTTTTCTGGTTCTAGATCACCACGAAGGAGAAGCTTCTCTCGCAGCCGCAGCAGGTAAGCACCAGCTGCATGTGTCCAGGAGGTTTAAAAAGAAAGAAAACAGATTACTTCTTGGTCTGTCTGCATCGATATACTCCAGGGCAGGCTTTGTTATTTGGTCAAAGGGAGGAAAGGGGTTTGCTCCTGCTGTATTGCTTGTTTGGAGTTATTTGCACAGCTAAGAGAGACCTCATGGTTATCAATTAAAGAAAATCAAGAATGGAAGTAATTAGTGTCTCTGTCCTGCAGGTGTCTGAGATTCCTGCCAGTGTTTCACAAAATTTCTGTGGTCATGTGCTGCTCTCTTCCAGCCACTGTGAGCCACAAGTAGAGATGATAAATACACTGTGCATGTTCTGTCACATACTGCAGTGTGAGGTGGCAAAGACAGGACAGTGTTGCACAGTCCTGTGTTAGGGTCTTGAAAGTTTACAGAGTTCACAAGAGATATGTTTGTTACTGCACAGGTGTGTCTGTGGATGTGCTGTGTCAGCTGAGGCACTGTCACTTGCAGTCTGACTCTGAATGGATTGAGACTGTTGAAAAGGAATGGATGCCTGTTTACAATACAACTTAAGCTGTGTTGTGTGGCTCAAGCCGATTATTCTCACCTGAAGGGAAGGCTAATACCATCACCTTTAACAGGTTTCCCCTGGTTGAATAGCTAAAAACCTTACCTTCTTGAAGGGAAGCTCTTTAGATAGCCTTGTTAACCTAATTAGTTCAGCTTTGCTCTGATGCCGTAATCCTCTTGCTCTGTAATCTTTAACAGGTCCCTCTCCAGAGACAGAAGAAGAGAGAGGTCACTGTCAAGGGAGAGGAATCACAAGCCTTCTCGTTCCTTTTCCAGGTCTCGCAGGTAGGATTGGGCTTAAAATGGTTTGTGCATTCTGGGTACATCAGGAAAAGGCTTCCATGCCTTGGGAATACTGAAATAGGTTGTGGTGGTGAATCCTCTCAGATGTCTTGGGAGCTTCCTCAGTTACTTGAGGAATTAAATACTCAGTTTGATGCAATGAATAGTATTTTAAATACTTAAAAGTCATCTACTGAGTTGAATTGGGGGGGCTTGAGGTGAAATCTACTCTTGGCACCTTGAAACTTAACATATCTTTTCTTCTTCAGTCGCTCCAGGTCAAATGAGAGGAAATAGGACTGTGAGCAGGAGCTGTGTACAGGAAGTCATTAGATCTGAGGACAGGAGGAGTATGTACAGAACATTGTTTTGTTTTGAAACTTCATAAAGCTTGGTGCATTTTTAAAATGTTTTAGCTGTTGAACTTGCTTTGTTCCTTGTATCTTGTAACAGGTGGCAAATGTAAAGATGTGAATCTGTATATGGTTCTGAGCAGATCATATGATTTGTAATATTAATCACTTTACAATGTACCATCATACATTGTTTGTTGTTTGTGTTGAGTGATGAGCAGTTTGTCTTGCATAGATAGAAGAATGCTTCTGGCCTTGGCTGCTGGGGTGTGTTTTGCTGGGATTCAGCTTCAGGAAGGAGGGGTGCAATGAAGCTGTGTTCATTGCAGAGTGTGGCTGTGGGCAGGTTTGTCTGTGCAGAACAAGGTGCAGGTGCTTCCCAGTGCAGTTCTTGGAACAGTCAGGAACGTCGAGCCAGTGGGGTGTGAAGGGAAGGACTGAGCTGCAGTTTTGCCCAGAGCTCAGTTCTGACTTCCATTCCCTGGAACTGAGCTACTTTATATTATGTGAAATATAAATTTTTAGCTGTAGGGTCAGTTAATTTTGTACTTCATGTGACTAGAGTACTTCCTACATAGATGATTGTTTGATCGACCATCTATTCCAGAACCTCTGAACAGACCAAATACACAGCAGAACTGACAACTGGAGTGGATGTGTTGAGTGTGTAATGGTACATTGTAAAAGTTATGAATTAAACATTTCTTTACTGTACAAGAATTTTCATGTCACTTGTAAAATGTCTTTTGTGAGATCCTTGGGATTAAAGTTTTGGTTACAACCTGTTGTTCAGAATTTAACTGGAGTACCTGGCACTGCAGAACGTGTGCTTGGGGCTTGTGGTGCAGCTTGGGTCAAGTTAAATGTGCTCTGCAGGATGGGGTAAAGTGACACTTGACACCTTGCTGTGACACCTGTGGACTATCCAGATGTTGCTGGAGGTCACTGCCTGTGACTTGGTGCCATTCCATGCCCAGTGCCACCCCCCTCCTCGCTACAGGGCCTGGTTCTGTCCCTGCCATCAAACACCTGCCATACAAAGGCAGCCTGGGTGAGCTCAGTGGGTGGTACTGGCTTGACTTCTCAGGGTGAGCTCTATAGTGCCTGCTGAGGAAAGCTGGAGAGGTTGAAAGGTTCCCAATGTTTGTAGCCTGGATGTGGGTTGGTAACGTTGAAGGTTTTCCTTGGAGTGTAAAGCCATGCTTGGTGTGACTGGAGCTCCCAAGAGCAGATGAGCTACACCAGGTTGGATTGTGTGTTTAGATTAAATCCGCCAAGCTGAATAGTCTTTTAGTTTGATTTCCTCTACTTGTGGTATCTGGGCAGGAACAAGACTGTGGCAAAGCTGTTATGGAAAGACATCCTGCTTTACAGGCAGCCTGGAAGGAGGACATGGACAGTGGCTGAATCAGAGGTGTTGCTGCCTTGGCTGCCGAGCTGTACTGTCTTCATTTATTTTTTTAACTACTGGGCACTGCTGCCCAGGGCTTTAGCAGCTCCTGGCCTGGGCTGTGAGCATAACCGGCCTCTTGGGAGAGCTGTATGGGGCACACAGATCTACGGCGAGTTTTAACAGCTACAAATGCCCTTTCCTGGTGGATGTACTTGGCTGGGTGATGGACACCACTGCGTCGGCTGCTGCTCGGGGGTTGTCAGCCTGTGGTCCTTGGCGTGGAGCTGGGAGGTTCAGTCCTGTCCGTGGGCTCTTCCCGGAACAGACAGGCCGGCAGCCTGTTTGCAGCAGCCGGGGCGTGGTCGGTGCCGGCAGAGCTGCCGGGGCCGTGACTGGCACCC